AATTGCATCACTCGAACAACAAATAAATATTGAAAGAAAAATAAATATGATTATATAGTTCAACGACTTTTATATGAATTGAAATAAATCCACGATTGTCAACAATTTATCAATATTTGATAATTAATTTCATTTATACATTGTTAATATAGACTGGCATTTCGACTTTTACGCGTACGACTTAATAAAGAATTAATCATTGTAAATTAACAGTGAAATAAATATTATTTAAGAATATTTTATTTCTTTCCGTATATTTTATCACATGTTGAATATTCCATGTACGAGTGAATAAATCCGCACATATTCACCCTACGTAATCAGCACACTTATGAAAGATAACTCGTGGTCATGAAAGATAACTCGTGTTCGCCTACCTGTACATTGTACCATCTAGCGCTAACCGTAAATAGGCCATGTTTACCTTCTTCTCAAGGGGTAAGTTAAATATGCAGGGTATGGGGTAACTCGCGGTGTCTTAAAGGGACTTGTACACTATAGATTCTCCTTAGATTTAAGAATATTTTAAGGCTATGATAAAAAAGAAATCGCTAAATTTCAAGATAAATTTAATTAATTCTAAATAAAATTTAAATAAATTCCACATGCAAAAAAGTAGAAGAACGCCTGGTAGCAAAATAATATTGAGCATATGAAAGGAAATAAATGCTACAATTATTAATGACATCCGAGGAAAATATTTGTAAAAGTATTTTTTTTTTTTTAGATCCACCTCTCCAAGATTCTGCCATAAATTGTCTCGAATCACTCTTAGGGGAATATCGGTGATTAGCATTAATAGCACTTGCATTGAGTTCAGCTCAAAGCTAAATCGGACGGGATTCTTGGGATGGGGTCGGGACCCTCCTCCCCCCCCCCCCCCCTGGAATTTGCAGAGTTATTAAAAGTATATACTGAAGCAAATAAAAAATGATTTTGGACCTCTCCTTGAAAACGCGGACACCACCACCACAACGAGATAGTTTTTTTCACGTTTGGGAAATGGATTTTACTTTTATTTATTTATTTATTTATTTATTTATTTATTTATTTATTTATTTATTTATTTTTAAATTATTATTATTATTATTATTATTATTATTATCATCATCATCATCATCATCATTATCATTTGCTTTTCAAGAAATTTCTGGGTTGGAATTTTTTGACTTGGACCACCCCTCACCTCCATCCCTCCAAAAAAAAAAATCCTGGATCCGTGCCTGTACAATCCTCCACCGGCAAATGATGGCATCTCAATATGAGTGAAACATTCTCGAAGGGACGTTAAACAAACAAACAAACAAATAAATATCTCTGACATGTAAGCGTCAGGTTATGCTTACTGTTTAGTCACTGTCCCGTCAAAAGTTGCGAATGTGGTGTAATTTTGCCGGATAAAGAAGTGCATCCTTTGATATCCATGACCATAAAATGAGGGAGGGGGTCAATCTCGTTAAGGCTAGTCTATTCAGACCTCCGTTTTAAAAGTAAATTTATTTTAACTACCCTTTAACATTCTCAGTATTTTTAGTATTTTGAGAATGTTTTGTGATAACTTTTAGGAAAGTGTTACTATTGTATATAAGTACATGTACCGGTACGTCTGAGGAAGTAAGCACCGCTAACATGCGTGTATTTACTACACTATATCACCCCGTGTCAAAAAATCTTGAACTCGACAAAGTTGCACATTTTACATCTAAGAAGAAAGGAATCTCTTGTGTATTTTTTTTATTCCATAAGAATTTGCCATTGATATTGATATTTTCTTTTTCTTTTTTTTAATAACCATTTCAAGTACTTTGTGATCGATCAAAACGTTACTCATCACTTTGCATTCAATTTATCTGTCGAAAAGTCCCACGAAATTCATAAAGATTATATTCATTAAGCCCTATATTTATACTCAAATTCAAAAATAAAACTTAATAAATAATTGATAATGTGTCAAAATCTCAGGAGAGAACGATTTCCGTATCACAAATAAATATGTATATGACCATTTTAATGGGTTTTCAGATTATTACCTGAGCGTAATTGTATGGTAAGTTCAACATATCACCTGTATTTGAAAGAATGTTTACACCAACTCATAAAGTTTTTGCAGCTACAATCAGTTACATGTTCAACGACAGAAAATTCACTTTGACCCCAGTTCCTAGAGAATTATGTCGTTTAATAAGGATTTCTGAAACATTAAAATATGCCTGTGGAAACCTAGGGGAGGGTAGGATGGATGGAATGGGGCCATGGAAAGGGGTGGGGTGGGGCGAGTTAATACTTCGAATATGATTTTTTCCAACCAAATGTCACGTGCTTAGCTACGGCGCCGTTGGAAGGCCAGATGAAAAAAAAATATTTGTTCGGGCGAATTAGATATATTTGTTCGGACAAATTAGATATTTGTTCGGACGAATTATAGATACACATGTATTTGTTCGGACAAATTAGATCTAATTTGTCCAAACGAATTTCTAATTTGTCCTAACAAATATCTAATTCGTCCGAACGTTTCTTTATATAAATAAATATATAGAGAGAGAGAAGGTGGGAGGGGGGGGTAAAAGATTTGAATTTAAAGTCACGGTTCGTGCGCAATGAATCCTATTTTATTTAGAATGAAATAATATAAATATGAATTATTTGATTAGAAAAAGAGTTTAACATATTTTTCATAATTCTTATTCCCAGCAAAACATCATCAATCAAACTCAATGTAGACAGCGAGATGTACCTAAAAAAGATGCATATTTAGTAGAATATTAATTCTCTTCCAGATTTTGAAAGTCACAAAACTCTTTGAGTATGTGTGTGAGCGCACTGGGCGGCGCCTTGGATTTAATAACATCTGTATATTGACATCTTATTTAATTTGTCGGAATGAAACACCGATTGTGACATTAATCAATTTTACTACATTGATGGATCGATTGTCATGACTTGCCTTATTTATAAAAGATAATGTAAGCCGAGAGTTAAGCATTTTTATGCATGCAATTAGATCCTTAGAGGCCCACATGACCCCCTCTCTTTCTCTCGCACACAAGCACGTGCCTAGAACCGAGTAATAAGAGATCGATTCAATTTCCAATAAACGAGTATGTCTGTATAAAGCAAATGCTATTTAAAGGCTTATTCTGCCCCCTTCATGCACGATAAATTAGGTAAACATGCGAGAAAAGTATGCCAACATGCAAGATAATTATGTCTACATGCATAATAATTACGTTGACATGCAAGTTACCAATCTTTTTAGAGAATCCAATTTTAATGTTGGTAAACATAATGACTAACGCCGGTATACGACATCATACAAACAAGATGCAACAGAATTATGTTGACATGCGACTTTTTTATGTTAACATGCAAGATAATTATGTTAACATGCAAGCTATTTATGTCAATATGCGACTTATTTCTGTTAACATGCAACATAATAATGTAGACATGCGACTTATTTATGTCAACATGCAAGATAATTATGTTAATATGCAACTTATTTATGTCAACATGCGACTTATTAATGTCAACATACCAGTTATATTTTAACATGCAAGAAAATTATGTTAACATGCGACTTATTTATATCCACATGCGACTTACTTATGTCAACATGCGAGTTCTATTTTAACATGCAATACATTTATGCCAACATGCAAGATAATAAGTTGCATGTCAACATGCATATCTGGCATGTTGCCATAATTAACTCGCATGTTAACATAATTATCTTGCATGTTGACATAAATAAGTTAAATGTCTACATAATTATTTAGCATGTTAACATAAATAAGTTGCATGTCTACAAAATCCTGTTGTATCTTGCTTGTATGATGTCATATAATGGCTTTATTAAGTAAGTTTACCAAATTAAAATTAGATTCTCTAAAGAGATTGGTAACTTGCATGTCAACATAATTATTTTGCATGTCGACATAAATAAGTCGGATGTCTACATAATTATGTTGCATGTTAACATAATTTATCTGCATTTAGGGGGCAGTAGTCATCTACAAAAAATCAAAGTTGATTTTAAAAATATGCAAGAGTTCTTCAATGAGAATATTAATGTAGACTTTGGAGACCAGGTCTTCCAACAATTTGTAAGTACAGTTACGAACATATGTTTGTGTGTCTGTCTGAAATCCCTGATTTTTTTCCCATTACTATGTAAGGGAATTCTTTTATTAATAACGAATATATCTTATCAATTTTTATCATTGAAAAAAGTTTTGAAATTAAAAAAAATGAAAATAAGGGGAAAAGTATGGTGGCATATTTCTGCCCCCTACATGCAAGATAAATGATGTTGACATGCGAGAAAAGTATGTCAACATGCAAGATATTTATGTCAACACACAAAGTAATAAGTTGCATGTTAACATACATATCTTGCATGTTGACATAGTTAACTCGATTGCATTTTGACATAATTATCTTGCATGTTGACTTAAATAAGTTCCATGTCTACAAAATTATCTTCCATGTAGACATAAATAAGTCGCATGTCTACATAATTATCTTGCATTTTGACATAAATGCCGCATGTCTACATAATCCTGTCGTATCTTGCTTGTATGATGTCATATAATGGCTTTATTAAGTAAGTTTGCCAATATTAAAATTAGATTCTCTAAAGAGATTGGTTACTTGCATGTCAGCATAATTATTTTGCATGTTGACATAAACAAGTCCCTTGTCTATATAATTATGTTGCATGTTGACATAATTTATCTTGCATACCAATACATGTATTCTTTGCATATAAGGTGCAGAATATTGACTTATAACAACAGCATCATGTCATGTCGACAGTTTACACGGGGTGTATCCTGCTCGAATATGTCACAAAATGAATAAGAGCACTTAAGGCGTGAAATACTTTTAACAGAGTTAATAGGGAAGTGATGATATAAGGAGATAGAACAGGAAAACAAATACAGGATTAACAATCTAAAAATATATACATGCACTTTCTCGATACAGTTAGCAAGCATCATTGTAAATAGAAAAAATATCCATCGCACCGATTGAGTACGTGTTACCCCTAATTACCGATAACCATTTAAAATTTTGCAGTTGTCGTTTACGACTGCATGTGGCTTCAATGGCATTTCCGTAATAGTCTAACTTTATGATGGAGTCCGCATCAAATAGAACAGATCTGGATATGGAACGTGTTTCAATGTGTTTTCTCTGGATGGCACTAATCCAGTTGTACGTGATATGTGCAATCTTCGCCACACAGCTGTACCTGTTGATAGTGGTAGCGAGGAGACATCTCCATCCTACACCGTGGACGTCGGTGTCCGCGGTGGGAATTCTTTATACCCTGTATTATGGATATATTCTTTTTCGCCTATTGAGTAGAGACCCTACTAAATGTACGGACATTTATATTCCTAATCTATTGTGTACTGCATTGATGTTAACTTTACTCTTTTTAGTCAACAGGAAGGAATTTAATAGTGTAAACAATATAATCGTTGTGAGTTTTGTTAGTCTTTCAACTTTGTGTTTAGTTTTGGAATACAATATCATGGATAATACTAACGGAAGACTTGAACAATCTGCACTATTTTGTCGATCAGCTCGAGATATGCTACCAATCTTTGCCCAGGAATACTTTACATTGGATCTCCCATTATTAGTGATTGGGCTTATTCAACGAAGTGGTAATATGGGTTTAAACTAAATATATATATAAATAATACAGTTTAAGCCATTGTCTAGAAAATCAGATTACTATTCTAAATTCAACGACTTTAAATGCTAACATTATTGGCTTAATTTTCAACCGATCGATATTGAAGTAAACTAGTATGTAAAAAAAAATCACTCAAAGCAACATGATTCCTATGCTTCTACTGCTGAGTGATGTTTTGTCGTCAACTACTTCATATACGTTTGACATACTAGTATATTTTTGAATGATAATGTGAAATTAATTCATGTACACACTATATCCAATGTTCTGGATTTTTTTTTTTAGATGTCTGTTCATCCTGCATTGAGTGCAGACAATGGGAAAAGATACAATCGGATCTCCTCAGACTGTTTTCATGTGTGCTGTTGATTTTAAGACCACTTCAGATATACTACCTTGCAACCCTGGACTTTCAGTACTCCGACATATTTCTCAGTTATGCCAATCTCATGGCATTTGTTTATGTTTATATAAAGAGTATAAAAGTTTCTAGCAAAGACAGTGCAGTGGCTACTCAGGAGATACTCGGTATATTGCCGAGCTATTGGAAAGTGGGAAAATGAATACTTAAATATACAAACTAAGTATCATAAAAACAACATTTACAAGAATTTCAATTGTGCAATAAATTTTAAGGCATTTTTCTAACTGCCTTTTTTCTGTACGATAGAAACTATTCCGATTGTTGTTGAGATAGTACAGCATACAAATGGAAGTTAGAAAATTTAAAAAAAAATCCTCTTACAATTTTGACGCAACAGAGCAAAAGGCACTATTTAAATTTTTTGGCGTTTTTCTGGTGCTTTCTCTAAAACTTTCACATTTTCAGTAACAACTGTGCTAATTTCAGTCAAACTTGACATGGATATCCCTGGATAAAAGGGAGTAAATTCTTTGCACAAACCGATTTTGATGGAATGATAGAAGTATCGAAATGAGGATGGTGTAAAAAAATTATTACATTTTCAACAGTGAAATATTGTGATTTATTTATTGAATAAAAGTGATATTCTCTCACAGTGTGAAAGGATACCAAAATGATATTCTCTCACAGTGTGAAAGGATATCAAAGTAAGTAAAAAATAATTTTTGGCCTGTCATAAGATAGAGATAATAACTAAGCATATTGATAGAGCTAAAACTGCAAATTTCTTCCCAAATATGTTGCTAAAAGCCATGCTATGCGAAGTTTTCAATCTCAGAACTGATAAGCTGTGACGTCTCAACCGCTCAACTATGACGTCAAGCCTATAAGACACTGTGTTAAGAAAAGACAGAGCGTAGGGAAAATAAAAAAAATGTAATAAACAGAAAATTCAATGTTTTGTAGATGAATATGGAATTTATTTCACTCGTGAGACAGGATTTTTTGATATTTTCACTCGTGCTTCGCACTCGTGAAAATATCAAAAAATCCTGTCCCACTCGTGAAATAAATTCCATATTCATCCACAAAACATTGAATATCCTCTATTTATTCCCTTGAACTATTGACTTAGAAACGACTAAGCTTATTCGCTCGTTAATGTTTAAAAAATCTAATCCAGAACAGCTTAATTGGTCTTATGTAGAATCAAGTTCGTTAAAGGCCTAAAAGAAGTCATATTAGGGATTCAAAGTTTTACATTGTCACATTGAAAATAATTCTTATCAACTCTTTTTCTCAAAATTTCAAAATCAAAATTAATATGCAAGGTAGCGTAGGTTCAAGAAGTTAAGCCTAGTTCCTGAGGCCCACCGAATGTGCAAGCTCGAAGTTAGTTCCATCCTTTTACACTGATACACAAGTATATAAAAACAAATCTTTAATGTCTTTTTCAATTCATCAAGACATGCATAGTTTCTCTTATTCACCTTTACAAACATTATCATGTTGTGCCAATTAACCCCGAGTAAGGATGGAACATACATTGTATACCGGGAGGTAAAATTTTAAGAAATATCCTGCAGAAAAAAATCAATACAAAGGGTTCAGGGCAGGTGTGACTGGTCAACAGGGGATGCTTACTCCTTCTAGGCACCTGATCCCATTCCTTAAATTTCCAGGGGTCCGTGTTTATACCCTATTTATATATTTGTATCGATTAAAAAAGATTTTAAGATCGATGACTGTTCGTTAACTTCAACTTTTTCATTTTCAAAAAAGAATAATATGAAAGCATTAATGTCATTCGGCATCTTAATTAATGAAAAAAAAACTTTATTTTCTTTGAAGTTTTAATGGCAGGTCTGTTTAATGAATTCCGTTTTCAATGGAATGATTTTTAGAGAAACATGGAGGCTTTTGAAGAAATTTATTAAGATTATGTTAATGCTGTGGGGTTTTGTCTAATTATGTTTAGATACACAATATTCCTACACTAAATAGTATGTTAAGTAATGAAACATGGAGATAACGAAGAGTAGTCAAGCTCAAAGTCCATTTAAACAATACAAATTGGGAGCAGAGCAAACAAGGACATCCAAAAACATCAGAGGTGGGATCGAGTGCCATGGAGGAGTGAGCATCCCTTGCCGACCGGTCAAACACGCTGTATGCTCCTTGTCATGATCGGGGAAAAAACCCGGAAAATCCGCAGACAATTAAGTGTGTAAATAATGGCCGAACAATTAGTATGAAAAACGTCAGTCAGCAGTTGACCTAATGATAGGTTGTATTTCCTGACAAGGTCATTGTAAGAAAGTGAGAAAGAAATAGCTTGGCAAGAAGCAACACATACACAAATGTTACAACTTATTAAAGAAAACACTTTTCAGTTTGTCTCGAAGCCAAAACCAAAGAATTCCGCTGAAACGGTAGTCTGATTATATTAAAATATAAGTAGAAATTGAATTATTTTTAGAAATGATAATGTGATACTAGTACATGTACATGAAGAATATAATTTGACTTAATTTACCGGCAAGTTAACAAAGAGAAAGCTTCTAAAAAGCCCTGCCTTTGTAAACCTTAACTAAAATGTAGTTCAAGAACTCTGTATCATAGGACATACATTACTCTAACAACAAAGCACAAATTCTTATTTCATTCTCAAGGACGATGCAATTACTTAAGTTTTATCGATCACCGACATAAATTTACGTCCTGAAAAATTGATCTCACAGGAAAAATAAGTTCATTGTATTTTTCAATGTTCAACATCAGCATAAATAACTAAAAAACAATGGTTGTCATTGTACAAAGTTTGTTGATATGCATGATGACATTTTATTGCTTATTTTCTCTGAGGTATTTGTCTTCCTTTTAAGAATCTAAATATTGGGTGTTACCCAGATCATCCTGACAGTCTTCCATGAAGCTTGATGACTGTTTTTTTTTTCTCAGAAAAAATGATTTTCATTTTTATTATTCCATTTTCAGTCTTGGGTGTTTATAAGCCATTTATTGCTAGCGCTCTCGAGCGCTAGCAACTACTTTAGTCTATATTTCTGGAATACGCATGCTCATCTTCACGGTCGGGGATTCTGGGAAAACTAGATAGACTGTGCGATAACAATTTCGTTTTGTCATACAAAAATAGAAATGATCCGAATTTCAGGCCTTTCCTGTCTGATATGCGCGATATACATTTCATAGGTTAGAGACAGTCAATACCAGTCTAGATCCGGATTCTGAATTTTTTTTAATTTATTGTCTAACCTACGCATAAAAGTACAAGAAAAAATTTGGCCATATAATGCCAAGATTCTAGACATCTAGCTTTCCTTACAGTTTTACCACCTTAGTGGATAATTCCGGCAAGCTCGGAAAAAACAACAACAACAAAAATCTTTTTCAGAGTATGTCGGAAAGACATGTCAATTTAGTGTTTATCATCTGAAAATACATATGATCTGAAGTTTCGTGTTCTGTTGTCTAACCTGCACGTAAATGAACAAAAAGTAACAGTAACTCTGGTCTTATAAAACCAAGACTGTTATTTCTAAAGTTGTAATGAATACATAGCTTTTCTAATCGACCTTCATGGATCTTTCCGGTGTAAAGACGAATAATGACCCCCATAGAATAATGACCGGGAGTCATTTTTCGACGTCGAATAATGACCCCCGGTCATTACTCAACGGCGAAAAATGACCCCCGGTCATTATTCGACGTCGAAAAATGACCCTTTTGCCCATAGAAAGAGTGTCATCACCCTAAAAACCTGCATACCCCACGTGAAGAAAAATGACCCCCGTAGAATAATGACCCCTTGTGAATTAAAGCGGATTAAAGTTGAAACTTTTAGGGGGCAAAATAAAAATAATAAATCAAGAAACCTGTTGGCCAAAATGCTCACTTGAGCTTCATTGCAAATAAATCGATGATATATTGATCTCATTACATTATACAATCATTGCTGTTTTTAAGGTCAATTCAATGATTCAGAATCTAGTGGAGTTAAAGATTTATCGAGTCCAAAGGGTGAGGAGAGCATTGTTTTTCGATGGTGGAAAATCGCTGATCGTCCTGACAGAAAATACAGCAATAATTGTTTTATTATATGATCCAATGATGAAATTGATACAAACTGATTAAGCAGACATGTCAAGTTTCTTGTTTACGTTTGCTCAAGTCCTAACCAAACACAGTGAAAGAATAGGAGTTAACATAAGCATAACCAGTATTAATTTTGCATTTGAAATCTAGTTTTGGTGCAATGTAAAATAAAATAAATGTAAAAATGTTTTAAAAAAATAAATGTCAGGCATAGCATCGAAAGGGAGAATGGCGCATTATGAGGCAAAAAATACTTTTAGTTAAAAATATCTTTGATGAACCCCTCAAAAAGTTTATTGATGTAAGTGGGATTTTCTTCTACTCTACTGTATCCAAAAGTTAGGGGTAGGACAACCAGACTTGCAATGACTATTTTCAAGCGAAAAAAAAAAATACGTTCATGGAAATGGAAGGGGGTGGACACCCCGTCCCTGATTCTATGTGCCTGAATGTTATGTTCATCTTGTTCACTCAAGTAGGAGAGATTTTTTAACTATACTGTATAAGAAAGAAGGGGTGGGTACAAGACTTTCAATGAACATTTTCAAATTAGAAATTGCTAAAATTTACATTCAGAAAAGGGGTAACAATCCCTCCCTCTTCTCCGATTCTATGTGCCTGAATATTATGTTCACTTGAGCAGAATTCAGATGCAGGTGAAATAACCTTTTGTTTTCAATCTATTTTTAGTTCAATGTAGGAAAAATAAATCCTTATACGTGTATTCACCTTGAAGGTCAATAAAAAAGTCAGTCTTTAATTATAAATTGAAAACATTAATCTATTTCAATATACACTGTATTGAAAATGTTTCCATATCGATTTGACAAATGTATCAGTTTTGAAGTGGATCAAAAAATATTCCTCTTACATGTATATATCCTATTCTCAGGCGATCATGTTACATTGTAACAGACTTGAATGTACATTTTACTGTACGTATTACTTCTATATACTTGAAAAGAAATTCCCATAGAGTAGACCACTGTTTATAAATAAAATTGAATACACATTATAAGATTGTATATATTTCAGACATGCCGAAATTTTATGTCCTTCTTATGTCTGTCACGTCTGCATCATATTTGGACGTTCTACTGACTATAGACGATAAAGACCAACTAACAACTAAATTGTCTGACAAGCGGGATGACTTCAGCCTTTTCTATT